CCCTGGCTAGGGCTCCCCAGCTTCTTCCAGAGACGGGCACACCCTGGCTAGGGCTCCCCAGCTTCTTCCAGAGACGGGCACACCCTGGCTAGAGCTCCCCAGCTTCTTCCAGAGACGGGCACACACTGGCTAGGGCTCCCCAGCTTCTTTCCTTCCTAAAACCCAGGTGAAAACATGCTTGGGGACCTGCTCCTGTAAGACTGGACACACACTGAAGGTGCAGACTGGACGCCCACAGAAGTGGCAGACTGGCATTCCCTACAGGGTCCTCAGAGAGAACCGGACAGCCTAAGTCAGAGCAGAGCCAGGCTCCCCTGAGAGGCACCAGGTGGCTCTCTGCTCTGCTTCTAGAAACCTCATTCCACACAAGTGACCTGTCCAGTGACTCTTCTATGAGGAATATGATGCCACTCCACCACACAATCTATTAGTATGCAAATACCAGCACCCTAAGCAAGAGATTTCACATGACTAAAAGTTACTGTCAACATTAAGGCTGGAAGCTGGACACAGTGGCACATCCCTTTAATCCCAGCACTCGGGAGACAGAGGCAGGCTGTCTCTGTGTTTGAGGCCAGCCTGGTCTACAGAGTGAGATCCAGAACAACTAGGGCTATCCAGAGAAACCCTGTCTTGAAAAAAAACAAGAAATCTTCTATTAGGGCTGGAGAGCCGGCTCTGTGCACTGCTCTTACAGAGGACCCAGATGAGTTCCCAGCATCCACCTCAGGCAGCTCACAATGCTACCTCCAGTTCCAGAAGATCTGATACCCTCTTCTGGCTTCCTTGGGCACTGCACTTATATGTACACAGCCACACACTGACACATGATTAAAAATAATGAATCTTTTTTAAAAAATGTTATTGTTATTAAAAACTCTTAACTAAAAGTTCCAGTGTTGGCTACAGAAATGACTCATCACTCCACAGCACAGGCTGCTCTTCCAAAAGACCTAAGTTCAATGCCCAGCTCCCACACTGGGCAGCTCACAACCACCTGTAACTCCAGCTCTAGGGATGCACTCAGGTACACACACACACACACACACACACACACACACACAGAGAGAGAGAGAGAGAGAGAGAGAGAGAGAGAGAGAGAGAGAGAGAGAGAGAGAACACATGCACATAATTAAAAATAATAAAAATATGCTGGGCGGTGGTGGCACACGCCTTTAATCCCAGCACTCGGGAGGCAGAGGCAGGCAGACTGCTGTGAGTTTGAGGCCAGCCTGGTCTACAGAGTGAGTTCCACGGCAGCCATGGCTGTTATACAGAGAAACCCTATCTAGAAAAACCATAATAATAATAATAATAAATCTTAAAAAAAAAAAAAAAAGCTGGGTGTTCCGGCTCCGGCCTGTCATCCCAGCACTCGAGAGGAAAATGCCGAGGACCAGTAGTTCAAGGTCCACCTCAGCTACAAACTGAGTTTGAGGCCAGCCTGGGCTACATTAGATCCTGATCCACTCTACTCCCCCCCTGCAAAAAAAAAAAAAAAAAAAAAAAAAAAAAAAAAAAAAAAACAAAAAAAAAAAAAAAAAAAAAAAACAATAAGGAAAGAAAGGAAGAAGGAGAGGGAGGGAGGGAGGAAGGGAGGGAGGGACGGAGGGACGGAGGGACGGAGGAAGAGAAACCTCTAATTACGGGGAGCTCCTAGCTGAGGAGCTATTAGCAACTGACAGCGGCTGGGATAGGCGGAGTCACTAACTTAGGGCTATGGCCACCAGTCAGTTGCCCAAGTCCACACCCATGAACACAGGGGCAGCACTAGCTGGACTTGGTAAGTCATTGAAGACAAACAGGACAGGAAGTTGGGAGAGGGAAGTGTTTGGAGAATCAGGGAGGAACAGCAGGAGGGAGAAAGTGAGGGACGAATATGATCAAGATGCACTATATATGTATGAAATTTTCAAAGAATAAAAAAAATCCCTAGTTAAAAAACAAACAAGTAACTATTAATAATCAGTACTCATTCTAAAAGTCAGACTACTTTGGGGTAACTCTTACAGGTTTTAGAGGTGAAGGAAGTCCCGGGGGGCTACTGACAAGTAACAGCTAAGCAGAGCACACCAACCTAACCAACCCATTCACAAAGGAAGCCCTGCAAAAACACCAAGTGATATCAAGCCAGCTATCAGCCATTTCCTGCCTTTCTGGTTCCTAAATAAGGCCTTAAATTAACAAATATTTTAACATGTACACAAGGTTTTTAACTTATAAAACAAACTATACAGGATTGGCTGAATAAACCATAGCACATCAATACTAAGAAATACTAAGCTGCCGTCAAAAATGAAGAGCCTGAGTTTATACACAAGAGGGATGTCCCAGCAAGGACCATTAAGTGAGAGACAAAGCCCCCAACAGTCATGTACAAAGTCCTTCCTTCTACAGTCTGGAACAAATGAATACTCCCACCACTCCGCACCCAGCTCCTTCTCTCCTTCCTCTTGTCTCTATTTCCTAAAAGAAACCGATAAGCTTATATTAAACTAAGCACCTAGATTATTAAAATGGAGACAAACTTACCCAATATTCGCTCTAGCTCCTCACACCTCTTCACCTCGCCAACGAATTTTCTTTGAAAAGAACTTACATTTTGGTTGAGCTGAGAAAAGGAAGAAAATTTTAAGTTCCTAAAATTTTCAATTTGTTTTTATTAATTTAATTATTTAGAACATTTTGATGGTGGGATCAAATGCAGGCCTGGTTACATTAAATTTTATTTATATTTGTCTAGTCATCTAAAACTTGTTGGTGCTGGGGTCACTGAGCTAAGGTAGACTCTGCTGAAGGAAACAGTACTGCCACAGGGTTGGAAGGTGTACACTGTCATCAGCCACGGAGAGAGAAGTGACAGAGCTTTTCTGGACAGCAAGTTGGCACTGCTACCAGAAACACCTGAACAACAGCCCTTGGCTCAGAAGTGATCCACAAATATGAATATGGATATAAAACTTATAAAAACAGCAACCTCAGACTCAGAGAACAGGTACATCACAAATCCAACCATAGGAAATTGTTGAGGGAGGTCAGCTGGTGAGTGCCTGCCCAGCACCCAGGAGGCACATAAAACTGGGTGTGGTGGCATACACCTATAGTTTCAGCACACGGGAGGTGGGGCAGGAGGATCAGAAGTTCAAGGTCATTCCCAAGCCCATTTGGTGTTCAAGGCCCTGCCTCTAAATAAATAAATAGATAGATAAATAAACAAATCAGATTATAACGAGTTGAGAAGTTAACATGTTAATTTCTTCCTGAGTCACACACAGTATTCTTAACAATAGCAGTAATATCTTATTTTTCTTTCCTTTTTTTCCCCCCCAAACAGGGTTTCTCTGTGTAGCCCTGGCTGTCCTGGAACTCACTCTGTAGACCAGGCTGGCCTCGAACTCAGAGATCCACCTGTCTCTGCCTCCCAGTGCTGGGACTAAAGGCGTGCGCCACCATGCCCAGCTAATATCTACTTTTCTAACAGTCATTTACAAGGACAGGCATTCAGGGAACAAGCTGCATCTGTACTGACTTGCAGCATCCCACTGGACTCCACGACCAGACTTGGTGCGCAACTGCTCAAACAGCCACTCACGAAGCCTCAGCTCCTGTGGGGGATTCTCAACTATGAAAGCGTTGGGCAGAAGAAAGATCAGAACTGGAGTGGCACTTCTCTGTCTCCTTCCCTTTCACTTCTGGAGGTCACTCTCATCCAGATGAATCAGACACGGTGGCTGCGGTGGAACTGAGAGTGGGAACCAGGAGCCAGGAACCAGCCCTGCCTGCAGCTCTACATGCCAGTTACCTTTCCCCCGTAGCTGCACTCTTAACCCAACAGCAGGATCTTTTGTGACGAGGGGCGCTCCTGCCACAAGGATACAAACACCCACCACCACCACCACCACCAGCAGCAGCAGCAGCTTAGACAGTCACTGTTTTTCTGCTGTGTGGGTTATAAATTGGTTTTTTTTTTTTGGGGGGGGGGTTCACTTAAGGTTGCAGTTACCTTAATTCAAAGCTAATGGTGTAAAAGTACATTTCAACAGACCCTCTTGTTTTTTACGATTTATTTTATTATTTTTGAGTATGTGTCTGTGTCAGGGCACATGAGTGCAGGTGCCTGAAGAAGCCAAAGGGGCTGGAGCTGCAGACCACTGGGAACTTCCTGGCATGGGTGCTGGGAACTGAATTCTGGACCTCTGCAAGAGCCTTAAGTGCTCTCTAATTGCTACTCCATCCCTCCAGCCTTCCTTTCTTTTCAGACATCTCCCTATGGAGCCAAGGCTAGCCGTGAACTCTCCATCCCCCTGCCTCAGCCTCCAGAGTGTTGCAACACCATGCCTAGCTCCAGACCCTGTCTGTACGAGTAGCATTGAACCCAGGAGAGCAGGCAGAGAAGACAAAGACATTCACTGTCTTTCCAGTCCCAGCAACCAAAGGGCCAAGAAGGAAAGCTGTCCACAGAGTAAAGATGGAACTGAGCCCACCTGTTCCTTTAGGGCCACAGCCTCTCTTTCTCCAGATCTTCCCACTGCAGTCACTATGAAAATCTGTCAGCTGCCCCACCCCCTCCAAGGAAGACAAGCAGAAAGGCCTGAATAAGTCCAAAAGGGTTAGCGATCCCACCCCATAAAATGAGCTTGGGACCCCTGCCACGACCTTTAACACCAATGCCCAAGCTTATAGGCACCTGACACCCGGCACTCCCCAGGACTCAGCAAAGCACACTCATTTTATTTCCCTCCTGCAAAGATCGGCAGCACTTTCTCTTCCATCAACTCTCCGTTTAAAAGGAACCTGAGTGCACCCTGGATCTCATGTAACGGCACTCAGCGAAACCTGAGGCTCTGAGCTGATTACAGCGCTTGTTCAGCCCCTGAGATTGAAGCGTGATAAGTGTCTTGGCTTGAGTCCTAACAGGATGGAACAAACAGACCTGATATAAAAGCCTATTTCCCTGCCGCTGCTGCCTGGATCTTTCTGGTGCCACTCACAGCACCACACCCTACCTGTCAGATACAAAGATCCAAGGGCTGTAGTCCAAGTGGCTCTGGGACCCAGGAAGAGCACCACACCTTTACTGCGCCCTCACCTGTCACCCAGGAGTCCCCCATGATGATGCAAAGATCACCCGCATCAGATCCTGAGAGTAAGGACCCATCAGAAAGACACAGAGAAATGGCCAGAAGCCCAAACTGGTGGGGTTGGATTCCATCAGTAGGTATCAGGGCCTGTGCCTTTCTCCACAGTTCTTCTCCTCCACAGAACTTATCCTGGCAGCTCATGACCAGTGTTTACCCAGCATCCTCCCAGACTGTGAACTCCAAGAGCACAGAGTCTTCATCTGCCTTGCTCACTGAGGCCCCGGGACCAGAAGTCACTCAATAAAAGCTTATGTATTCACCCAACAATTGTTTATTAACGCCAATAAATGCCGGGGGCCCGTGCCACTCGTGGGAATCCAGGAAAGAACAAGCTGGGCAAGGTCCTGACCCTTGGAGGTTGGTAGTGCACAGAGGTTGAAAATAAGCCAATGGCTGCGTTCGCAAAGTGTGTTATTACAGTTGCAGAACCAGCCTCCATTCCACACACACTGACTGTGTGTGGCCCAGGTCCTTGTCACTTGTCAACAATGCCAGTGCATCATCACCCAGGAGTCTAAAACTCAAAAGCTCTCTCTCCTGTCACACTTCCCCGTCCCTCTTCGGGCCTCTTTTAGCTCACCTATTCCTGCTCGGAGGGGCCCCTCCTAAGCTACCCAGCAAAAACCACCTCTGGGTACCCTCCTCCTCTACATCTTCCCACTGGCAGCTCCTGTTCCATCCCGATCTCAGCTCAAAGATCACCTCCCCGGAGGGGTCTTCCTTGACCACCCTGCAAAAGCCATCTCCGAGACCCTCCCCTTTCCCCCCTGACAGCTCCTGCCTGCCCCATTCGGGTCTCGGCTCAAAGGCCAACCTCCTCAGAGGGGCCCTCCTTGGCCACCCTGCAAAGCCACCCTCCCGGCCCGGGTCCCCGCGGCGCCCAGCCGACTTTGGCGGCGCCCAGCCCTGGGCTGCACAGGCCCGCAGGCCGCCGCGGGACACTCACGTCTCGGAACTGCACCAGGCCCTTCTCGCCCAGCGCGCTCAGACACTCGTACGCGGTGCCCGACTGCAGGAAGAGCTGCGCCAGGCACATGCTCTCGCTGCGGAACAGGGAGCCCATGGCGGCGTCGCCTCGCTCAGCCGCCGCGGCCCGCGCACCGGCACCATGGGGCTCCGCACCGCTGCCACCGCGGCCACCGCTCAGCCGCCGCCACTGCTACCCGCCACGCCCCGCCCACCGCCGCAGCCGGTTCCGGTTCCGCCCGGGGAACCGCCCACCGAAGGCTAGCCAATGAACGATCGGGATTGTGGGCGTCCGTCACTACGGCTCGCCCAATCGGTGCACAGGAGGCGGGAACCCTAACTGGGTCGACCCTAAGCGGCTTTTAGTTTGTTGTTTCTTTGGGGTATAGTTAGTTTTGTTGAGAGGGGATCTGACTGTGGCGCTCAAGCTGGCCTGGAGTTCGCCATCCTCCTGCCTCAGCTTCCCCAGTGCCAGGATTGTAGGTGTGCCCCAGTGCGGCCAGAACCTTTGGAAGACTTGTTTTTTCCCGAGTCACAGTCTATGTAACCGGGCTGTCACTATGTAGTCCAGGCTGGCCTCGAACTCAGAGATCTACCTGCCTCTGCCTAGGAGGTGTCACCACACCCGGCCCTTTTTAAGACTGATTTTTTTTTTTCCTTTTCTTTTTGAGTCAAGGTAAGCCAGGCTGGCCTCCAACTCACAGAGATCATCCCTCCTACAAGTGCTGAAATTAAAGGTGTGCACCACTGTGCCCCGCGGACTTCTTTATTTTATTTTTAAGAATTTCATACATGTAATACAACAAAAATGTCATATTCATCCCGTTTCCCTTTCCAACTCCCACAGTATTCCAAAACATTTCAAACAATCCAAAACAATTTCATGTCTTTTTTTGTGTGTGTGATGATCCGATAAATCCAATTAATGCTGCCCATGTGTGCATGGGTATGGGGCCATGCACCAGTGGATGGGAGACCCACTTTTATTTATTTATTTATCCCAGGCTGGCCACAAACTCTTTAAGTAGCTAAGGATGACTTTGAACTCCTGATCCTCCTGCCTCCAACCTCCCACCCTCCCACCCTCAGTGCTGATTACAGGCAAGCACTGTGGCATTGGGTCTGTGTTGCCTGGGGATGGACCCCAGGACTTCATCTATGCCAGGCAAGAACTTTTAATAACTTCAGCAGTTTGGTGGTGGTTGTTGTCTTTGTGTGGGTCCTAGGGTCTGGGGATAGCTCAGGAGTGAAGAGAACTTACAGCTCTTGCAGTAAGTTTTGGGGTTCCCAGCACCCAGATCAGGGGTCTCACAACCACCTGTAACTCGTTTCAGGAAATGCAATGCCTTCTTCTGACCTCAAAAGGCTTCTGCACACATACACACTCAAGCACACACATAAATGAATCTTTTAAAAGGATTTTTATTATTTTAAAGTGTGCGCACGCTTGCACATGACTTGCAGAAGCCAGAGGATTCAGATCCGAAGGAGATGGCATTGTAGTGAGCCACTGGACGGGGGAACCAAACTCAGGTTTTCTGAAAGGGGAACATGTGCTCTTTACCACTGAGCCATCTCTCCAGGCCCAATAAATAAATATATTTTTGGGGGGGTCAGGAGGAGTGTCTTTTGGGGGTTATGTTTCAAGACAGGGTTTCTCTGTGTAGCCTTGGCTGTCCTGGAAATAGCTCTGTAGACCAGGCTAGCCCCAAACTCACAGAGATCCACCTGCCTCTGCCTCCTAAATGCTGGGATCAAAGGCATGCGCCACCACTGCCCTGACAGCAGAGTCTTAACCACCTTGTGTGCCATAAAGTTCTCTTCCAAGTATAGCACCCTTTGGTTCTTAGTGAAGATACACAGGGTGCAGCCATCACCCTAAGGCAGTCTGAGAGCATTCTGTTAACCTCCAAGACATCACTGGCTGGCTTTGTCACAGTGGATTTGCCAGCCCTATGTGGTGCAATGTGTGGTCTCTGCAACCCCACTAGCCACAAGGCCAGCGTCCACACCGCAGTCACGTGACCTCTGCAATAACATACAACCTGATGCATGCTTAAAGTCTCTGGCTTCTCTCCTTGCATTCCAAATCAAATCCAAACCCCTCACCATAGTCTCGGGTCCTTTTACTCAGCCACACTTCCTCACTTTTTCGTGGTCCACACACTCGGACTCTGGAATCCCTCAGTTTAAAACGCTGGCCCACTGGACCTCATCAAAGCTGACTCCTTCAGGTCTCGGCTCAAATGTCTCTGTACCAGTTAGTGATTACTGTCAACCTGACATAATGTCACCTGAGAAGAGGGAATTTCAGCTGAGGGGTGGCACCGATCTGATTGCCCTGTAGCCGTGTGTGCGGTGAATTATCTTGATTGCTGGTTGATGTGGGAGGGCCCATTACAGGCAGTGCTGCCCCTGGATAGGTTGTCCTGGCCTTTTTAAGAAAGCTGGCTGAGACATGGTGGTGCACACCTTTAATCTTAGCGCACGGGCAGCAGAGGCAAGCGGATCTCTCTGTGTTCTAAGCCGGCCTGGTCTACATAGTGAGTAACACAGCACTTTAAGACTATAAGCGATGAGCCTGGCTGTGATGGCGCACGCCTTTAATCCCAGCACTCGGGAGGCAGAGACAGGCGGATCTCTGTGAGTTCAAGGCCAGCCTGGTCTACAGAGCGAGATCCAGGACAGGTGCCAGAGAAACCCTGTCTCGAAAAAAACAAAACACAAAGACTATAGCGATGCTGAGCTGGCTCACGGGCAAAGGTGCTGTCGTCTACACAAGCCTGACAACCCGCCTTCCAACCCAGATCCAAGGCAGGAGGAGAAAGCTGACTGCCAGAGGTGGTCCTCCATGTGCTCGCACCTGAGCTCACTCTCACACACACAGACATGCACAATAATAATAAGAAATAAATTTTAATTTTAATCTAAAGAGCCTTTATAAGCATTTTCTAGCCTTTTCTCTGGAATATGAGACAGTAATCAATCGATCCTTCTTTATTCTTTTGTTTGTTTGTTTGTTTGTTTGTTTTTCGAGACAGGGTTTCTCTGTGTCGTTTTGGTGCCTGTCCTGAATCTCGCTCTGTAGACCAGGCTGGCCTCGAACTCACAGAGATCCGCCTGGCTCTACCTCCCAAGTGCTGGGATTAAAGGTGTATGCCACTGCCACCTGGCTCTTTTTTTTATTCTTATATGCTTGCATTAAGTCTGATCAAAATAAAACCCCTGTGATTAGGAATTCGTGCTGGGCTTCAGTCTCTGACATTCAGGGACACCATCAACTCCCCTACAACCAGCAGGCAGCAAGAAGGACCATTCTGGGCCACTTTGAACATCTGGATAATTGATTTAAAAACACTTAACACTAAGCATTTCTACAAAAATAGACATTTTGTTTATTAAAATGTTTCAGAGAGGCCAGGTATGGTGGTACACGCTTTTAATCCCAGCACTCCGGAGGCAGAAGCAGAAGATCCCTGTGCATTTAGAGGCTAAACAGGGCTACATAGTGAGACCCTGTCTCAAACCAACAGGTTTCAGAGAGGCACACAGGCCTACAGGGAGCCACTGAGTGGATGCTCTGAGCCTTGGAGAAAAGTCAGTGGTAGATGGAGGCTGAGTGCCAGCCTTGGCACATTCTGATCCAAGGATGACTGAGGAGTGTGGCCAGCATGAGGAGGGCCAGCAGCATCAGGGCTTTGGCAACACACTGGGAACGGGGCTCTCCTGAAAGACAGCAAACGACAACTTGTTGGGAGCACAAAGGTCCTTGTCCCCACCGATCACCAGGGAAACCAGGAATGTTAAGCAGGCAGGACTGTCTTCTCATAGGAGAGAACGGATAACCTGTTTTTCCATCCAGAAGGCTGGGAATTGGAGGTGATTCACAGCCTGGTGAACTATGCTATCTGCAGGGCAAGGCCATATCAAGCTCCCACAACCAGAACCAGAGACGGTGAATGGCCCAAATGACCCTTATATTATCTACATAATCAAGGGCTCCCCCAAGCTCCCACAACCAGGACCAGAGATGGGGAGTAGACCAAATGACCTGTACACTACTTGTATGACTGAGATCACAACAGATCCTTCCCTAGGCCCCTAAGCTAGCCTTAGTACAGGTAGCCTATCTCTCCCTACCTTGGAAGAAAGGACATGTACTTTGAGTTGGGTTTCAATGTAATTCTGTCTCCTTGTACACCAGGAGTTGTATTACATCAGGACACTTTTCCCCAAATTGTACTGTGTTAAAATATGCTGCCAATAATATGTCCTGGCATCGGACTCCCGGAGTTTGATCCAGTCTGGCTAAGTCAGGCTGAACTAAATTTTCTTTTCCATCTCTTCAAGGTTTGTTACCCTGCCTGCCATGACATTTGCAGGGACCCCACCCCATCCCGTAACAACTGAGTTATCCTGTCTTGACTCTGAAGATAATTATTTATTGATTATTTGTGATCACCATTAATAGTTAATAAAGCATCGGCAGGGGTGTGGTTTCTTCTTTTAAGTCTTTCTATGTGTTTTAGGTTGTCTGTGACATTTATACATTGACTCTTGAATAGTTTTAATCGGCATAACATAACTGACAACATGCAGGAACCTGCCTTCCCTACCTTGGTAATACTGGGTCAGAGGGTACAGAAGTTGAGGCCAGCACAGCTCATTCCGGGTACAGTCATACTCCGTGAAGTTGATCTGGAACCTGTAAGAACACACGAGAAGGTCGCAGGAAGAACAAGTGAGCAACAGGAAGGAACCGGCTAGCCCATCAGCCTCTGACTGGCTCACCTCGTCGGAGGGCGGGGCATCTGCGCAGGGATTTTAATGAACTGAACGGAGGCACTGAGAGGGAGGAGATCGGCCTTGTCCTCACAGGTGAGCCCACACTGGTACTGCCAGGTCACTGTGGAGAACCTAGAAGGAGAAGATTGTAAGGCAGTGTGGCCTCCATCCATCGGAAGTCTGACTCAGGACCCCAGGGAATCCAAGTATCGCAGCATCCATTTCTCAAGTCTAGACACAAGAGAGAATCTCCCAGTCCCTGTGCCCATCACTGGGTTCTCTTAGCAAAGATTGCTTGTCTCCAACAGTCTATTATCGGCTGGCCATTTATTGAGGGCATTCCATGCCCGCAGCACAGAACTAAGGTACTTTTTACATATTATGTTAAGGAAGCCTCAAAAACGGTACTGTGGGACTGGGGCATTGCTCAGCGGTGGAGCCCTGCTTAGGAAGAGAGGCCACTGGCTCCATCCCAAGGCTCTGAAGTAGATCTGATGGGGAAAAGGCATCCCTCCTCCTATTCTGGTAACTGCTCCCCAACTTTCTCTAGAGGTGGGGACACACCACTCGCCACTCTCCATTCAGCAGGTCAGAAGACACCAGTCTGAATCCAGAGCTTGCCTGTCACAGCTGTTGACGGTCCTGGTCATAGCACATGGTTCTGAAAGGAACATGTGACCTAGCTGGACAAATGTAAGTCTGCCCAGATCTCTTTTGACAAGGCGGCCTCTCGGCGAGGCTGAGCTGGTGCTGGCCCAGCAGGACTAAGGAGGACGTCCCTGAGAGGGAAGGCAGTCCCAGGGCAGGGCGAGCCGGAGGTGACAAGGAAGAGGCCCTCTCTGAGTGTGCGGCATGGGGACTCTGACAAACTGAACAGCCTGCGTCACTTTTTGCTACGTGGGACCTGTCACACAAGGGAGAGACGCAACACACAGACACCGTCACTTCTCAGATGAGGCGACTGCATGTCAAACTGTCCAAAGCCTCACACAGTTCCGTGATCTGAACCTCTGGTGCCGGCAAAGCCTCCAGCCAATGGCCACACTCTGTCGGCAGGGTGTCACTCAGGCTCACGGCGTTAAGTTACACTCGGCACTGCACACAGCGGCGGCGGCTCTCACGCTGGTTCAGTCTCAGACATGATGTTTATGTCTTCTGCTCACCACAGCCAGATCCCTAACAATCCCCGTTTGCAAGTGCGCAGATTCCCGCCCAGCATTCCTAGCCTTCGTCCTGCTCTAGACTTTGGGTAACTCTCAGGAGGGGACCACACCTTGTCTCCACGCCGAGGATCTCCTGCTGAGACACCCCTTCCACGGACCCAGCTTCGGCAACGAGGAAGCGGATGGTGAGCTGGGCAGGGACTTCCGGGCAGATGCCATTTGCGTGGCTCAGGGGCAGGTCGGCACCTGCATCAGGGGCGTCAACACCTGCAGGAATGTCGAGTGAGACATCTGTTAAGAGCAGCCGTCCTATAGTGTCCCACCTGACACCCTAAGGAATGGAAGGTGACACGGCCTGGCTCCCAGTCCCCAGGCTCTACTCTCTAGCAAGCTCTGATTGTCGTCACTACACGGCTATGTGACCTCACGTCCACCCAGCAGAAACAGGTACTACTCACCTGGGTGGCGTCTAAATGCTTCGCTGTGTGGGTGAATGAGGTCCCAACCCACATAATAAAACTAAGCATAAAGAGTCAGTGTCTGGAGCTGCAGAGATGTCTCAGCATTTAGGAGCATGGGCTGCTCTTGTGGATGGTACAAGTTCAGTTCCCATCAACCACCTACAACTCCAACTCCAGGGGATCTGATGCCCTCTTCTGGCCACCAAGGGCACCAGCACACATATAGCATAAACTTCCACAGACACAGACACACACGTAAATAAAATCTTTTTTTTTTTTTTTAAAGAGAAAATGAGCTGGGCAGTGGTGGCACACGCCTTTAATCCCAGCACTCAGGAGGCAGAGCCAGGCGGATCTCTGTGAGTTCGAGGCCAGCCTGGTCTACAGAGCGAGATCCAGGACGGGCTCCAAAACTACACAGAGAAACCCTGTCTCGGAAAAAAAAAAAAAAAAAAAAAAAGGAGAGAGAGAGAGAGAGAGAGAGAGAAAGAGAGAGAATGATCAGAGTCTAAGCTTGTCCCTGAAAGCTCCCAAGTGTTCTGTCGGGAACAATGCAGGACCACAGTAAAGAGACACAGGCTACACCCCTGTAATCAGATTGGTGACTACCCTAACTGTCATCAGAGAGCCTTCATCCAGTGACTGATGGAAACAGATATAGAGATCCACAGCCAAGCACCAGGCTGAGCTCTGGTAGTCCAGTCAAAGAGAGAGAAGAGGAATTATATGAGCAAAGGGGTCAAGATCGTGATGGGGAAATCTACAGAGACAACTGAACCAAGCTCGTAGGAACTCACAAACTTTAGACCAACAGCTGCGGAATCTGCATGGGACCGGACTAGACCCTCTGCATTCAGTAGACAGTTATGTAACGTGGTCTGTTTGAGGGGTCCCTGACAGTGGGATCAGGATCTATCCCTGGTGCATGAGCTGGCTTTCTGGAGCCCATTACCTATGGTTGGATGCCTTGCTCAGCCTTGATGTAGGGGAGAGGGGTGTTGTCCTACATCAAGTGAATGTACCAGGCTTTGCTGACTCTCCACGGGAGCCTTTACCCTTTTGGAGGAGGGGATGGGGGGTGGGTCAGAGGTGGGAAGGCTGGCAGGGAGCAGGAGGAGAGATGAGAGAGGAATCTGTGGTTGGTATGTAAAATGAATTTTAAAAACTCTTAAATTAAAAAAAAAGTCACAGACTATGCTAGACCGTCATCACCCTATCAGAAGTCATATAAAAAAGATATTTAAAACGCACCCTAGCATCTTTGGTTCCAATGGGTTAGATAAATAATCAATTTCCTGCCTGGAGGCACTGTAATAACACTACCAAGTGCAGGGTCACAAGAGAGCAAGCTAGGCAGGCCCCCTTAAAGCCACACCCCAGCCCCTGCTCAGTCCCCTACAAAGTGAACAATTCAGAGCCGAGAGACCGTCTCCACTTTCAGGCTGTTTCTTTTTGTGGACTGGTTTTGGATCTGGGAGGAAGTTGGTGCTGGGCTCAAACCCAGGGGCCCTGCACAGACTAGACAGGAAACTGAGCCACATTTCAGTCCGATTCACTTTCAGATCTTCCTGTAGAGAACTCTCCGGATCACAAGAGTACCTCCCCGTTTCCTAGCACTCGTGAATCTGATGTTTAGACATCTGCCCACGCTGGGTGTTGCACACAAATGGATTCGGAGGTCTAGGTTGTCTGAATCTAGGCCCCTTGCCCTCAGCACCACCTTTTCAGACGCTCTGACAAAGTGGCTTCTATAAACTACCAGATCAGCTCTCAATGCCAATATTCTGGAGAGCTCAAAGCAGCAGTGCAAATTGATGTGCCCTATAGGTCTCCGAGCCCAGACTGTCAGCCGGAGGAAGCTCCTGGGGGTTTCCTGTGTGAAGCAAAAGCCATGGCAGAGCTGTGAAAAGCTTCCTGCCTGCAGTAGAGAGCCCTAGTCAAATACATCGGGCTCTAGAGCCATGAGTGGTACCCACAGGCTCAACAGCAGTAAGCCTCTGTCCATGGCCACACACTCACGTAGGACCTCCAGCCAGCCGTCACTCAGATCGCCGTAGTCCGAGTTGCCTCTCCTCGCGACGTGTGTCGCTTGTATCAGCAAATCCAGCCTCCGGAGGACGTTCTCCCTGCGAGGGAGGAAGACGACACTTCTCAGCCAGTGGCCAGCAGGGCTTGTCCTCAAGTCCTTGCCCAAGACTGGCCACTCGGTCTTTGCTGGGAGCCCAGATTAAAGATTGCTGGAGAAACTGGCATTAAAAACAGGGTGCGCGTGTGGGGGTATAAACTGGAGAGATGGCTCAGCAGTTAAGAACACTTGTTGCTCAAGCCGGGTGGGTGGTGGCTCACAACTTTAATCCCAGCACTCAGGAGGCAGAGGCAGGCAGATCTCTGAGTTCAAGGTCAGCCTGGTCTACAGAGCGAGTTCCAGGACAGCCAGGACAATTACACAGAGAAACCCTGACTCGAAAAACCGCCTCCCCCTCAAAAAAAGAAAGAAAGAATGGTAAGCGCATTCAAACAGAAACCAGTACAGGGCTGTCTGCAGCAGTGCACACAGCCAAACGACAGAGAACGCAGCTGTCCATCAACCCAGGGGCATAAACAAGATGTGCTGTGAACAGACACAAAGTCAGTCTACGAGTCACCATAGAAACCAACAGAGTTCCAGAGCATGCTGTGACATGGAAAACGGCAGAGTGGGCATGATTCCAGTTAATATCCAGAACAGGCAAAGCCACAGGAGCAGAAAGCAGGGTACTTCATACCCGAGGCTTTGGAGAGAAGACCTGGGAAAGTAACTGCTTATACATATAGATTTCCATTTTGGGTGATGAAAATATTTTAGAACTAGATAGAACCTTTCATGAAATCATGAAAAGCCTAAAGATACTCAACTGTTTTTTTTTTTCTTTTTTGCTTGTTTTTAGTTTTTTTTTAAAAAATAATTTATTTAACTTTATTTTATGTGCATTGGTGTGAAAGTGTCAGATCCCCTGGAACTGGTGTTACAGACAGGCGTGAGCTGCCATGTGGGTGTTGGGAATTGAACCAGGGTCCTTGGAAGAACAGCCAGTGCTCCTAACCCCTGAGCCATCTCTCCAGCCCTTGCATTTAGTTTTTTAAGCATTTGTGTATGTGTGCATGTACGCAGGTATGCATGTACCGTGGCATACTTGGGAGGTCAGAGGACAACTTCATGAGTCACTTTTCTTCCACCACAGGGGTGGTGGCCTTGAACTCAGATCAACCTCGGCAGCAAATGCCTTCACCTGCTGAACCATCCCGAGACCCTGTTTGACAACCAACTGAGACTCACCTGAGCTGCGTACAGTTCTCATTAATCCCCACCTCCAGCAGGCAGCCAGCGAGTGCATTCTCTCCAAATAAAATGGGTCTCAGAGCGGCTGATGCGCACAAGCCCCTTCCAGCTGTAACAGAAAGATGAGTCTCCCACTGTTCTGCTAAATACAAGTCAAGATTTACTTCCGAGATGTCCCTGGAAACTCTCTCAGCGCTACCCAGCAGGCTGAGGCAGGAGCATTGGGGTTCAAGGTCAGCCTGGGCAACATAGAAAGACCCGGTTTCAATTAAACCAACAAAAAGTCTTAATGTATATCCTTTCTGAGACAGGGTCTCAGATAGCCCAGGGTGGCCTTGATTTGATTAAGTAGCCAAGGATGACCTTGAACTCCTGATCCTCCTGCCTCCACATCCTAAGTGCTGGGATAATAGTGCCAGCACATGGGGCTCAACAAAACAAAACCAATAATGGAAAGTGAAAAACTAAAGTGTCCAATTTCTGCAAACCCAATGGTTTCCAACCTATGTGTCGTGAACCCTTTGGGGGCTGCATATCGGATCTTTACATCACGATTCATAACAGTAGCAAAACTACAGTGATGAAGTAGCAATGAAAATAATTTTATGGTTGGGAGTCACCACAACATGAGGAACTGTATTGAAGAAGGGTTAGGAAGGTTGAGAACCACTGGTCTAATCCTTCTGGTCTTTTCAAAGCCAAACAAAGACACCATTCTGTGCGAGAATTCCTGGACCAGATTCAGTGACTCCCTGCCAGCAGGCCTTTGCCGCTTCTGGCAGACGTGAACAACCCACAGTACAGCACTGGGTGCCCACTGTTCAGAGGGAACGGTTCTCTCTCCAAGGGGCAGCATGCTGGCCGCGGACAGCGCAATCATGCCTGAGCCGCTCTTACGAATACCCAGGACTTTAGGTACAACGTGCTAGGCATCCTTGGGGGTGGGGGGGAGAGCCACAGGAACACAAAAAGCAGCCCCTGCCCACCACGCCCCCATAAACCAATGTTTCCAACTCCAGTCTGTCAGGGAGCAAATGAGCAAACCCCCATCACCTGGCCGCCAGAGGTGTAGGGCAGTGACATTCGTCCCGTTGGCGTGCAGGGCTCGGACTGGCTTGCCAAGCTGGTAACCTAGACACAGCAAACAAAGCAGAGAGAGCTGGCATCTTCGCTCACATCAGACAGCCTCGGAGGCGGAGCTTTATAAACACCACCCCTGGGGCCAGCCCGGCAGCAGGCGACCCCAGCACTTGGAGGGCTGAGGCAAGAGGATGGCGATTTCTACTTACTGCCTAATGTACTGTATTTATCACCGCGTATCTAAAATGTTACCAACTCCACATACGTGAGCACGTCTCAGGGGCTGAGCAGCTCCACAGGGTATAACAGGCACCAAGGGGGGCCAAAAGATCACGAGATGAGCAGATGTACAGCAAGCTGGGGTTACCCGTCCCTTGACCACACGTGAATGAACATGGACTCAGGAGACGTGAGCCCACGGCTTTGGTGGGCTCACCCACGGAGTGAGGGTGGCCTTAAGACAGCCACAGCGGGGCTGGAGAGATGGCTCGGTGGTTAAGAGCACTGGCTGCTCTTCCAGAGGACCTGGGTTCAATTCCCAACACCCACATGGCAGCTCATAACTGTCTGTAACTCCAGTTCTAGAGAATCCAACTCACACAGACCTACATGCAGGTCAAACACCATGGCACATAAAATAAAAATAAATAAACCACACACACACACACAAAAGACAGCCGCAGCACTGAGAACCCCACCAGCACGGGCCGTGACTTCGGGCTGCAGGGATGAAGGACCCCTCCTGTGTCCCAGCACCTCCCAAGCAGCTGGGAGGGAAACAGGGTCTCCTGGAGACGCTGTCACAACTGCTCTGACTAAGATGATGGTGGCTGCCACACCCAGAGGGCAGTGGCCACACGACAAGAGTATCAGGTTCCCCAAAAGGCCAAGGGCACCAGGCGGGTGGCACGGGGCCTACAATCCTACCTACTGAAGGCTGAGGGAGGGCATTTCAGATGCAGAGTTCAAGGCCAGCCTTGGCTACACACGACACCGTGCCTCAAAAGCAAAATTACAAGAACTCCCAGGAGCTGGGGAGACGGCTCAGTGGTTAAGAGCAACAGAGGACCCAAGGTTGGTTCCCAGCACCCATGCTGGACAATTCACAACTGCCTGAAACTCCAGATCCAGGGGAATCTGGCGCCCTCTTCTGACCTCCATGGGAGTCTGCACACAAGTGTCACATGTCAGTGAATACACACACAAACAAAAAATAAAAATAATTTTAAATAAGTGACCCGAGAGATGGCTCAGTGGTTACGAGTGCAGCCTGCTCTTCCAGAGGACCCGGGTTCAATTCCCAGCAACCACATGTCAGCTCACAACTGTCTGTAACTCCAGTTCCAGGGGATCCGACAGACACATATGCAGACAAAACACCAATGCACATAAAATAAAAATAAATCATTAAAAATACCACACATACATAAAATAGCCAGGGGTGGTGGCGCACGCCTTTAACCCCAGCACTGGGAGGCAGAGGCAGGCGGATCTCTGAATTCACATAGAGAATTCCAGGACAGCCAGGACTACACGAGAAACCCTATGAAAAACAAAGCAAAACAAAACCAGGAAAGAAAAAAAAAAAACCCACAAAATACAAAAATGAAAGACCAGAAGCTAGAGAGAATAAAATGTGCATTTAAAGCAACATTGTATATTAAAATATTAAGTTGCCATGGGAGGAAGTAGACTGCCACACGATAAAGAAACAGGCCAAGGAGACAAACATAACTCGGGATAGTTCCTTATAACCATGGAACAGCCCAGGGAGTGCCACCCTCAGATCTGTACAGACCAGCACTGTCACCCTACCTGGATTTCCAGAAGATTCCTTCTCATCACCACTGTTATGGCTTAAAAACTTCACTGTGAATCTCTGCGCCACTGTTCCTAGAGATAGAAGAAACAGGAGACATAGTGTACGCCATTTCATTGGGAAAAGAAATTAACTCCCATGAGCCAGGCACGGTGATGCACGCTGTAATTGCAGCACTCAGGAGGCTGAGGCAGGAGGATTGCTTTGAGGTGGAAGCCAATCTGAACTGCACAGAAAATTCCTGCTAAGGGCTACAAAGTGATACTCTATCTTTATTATTTATTTATTTATTTATTTACTTACTTATTTATATATATTTTTTATTTTCAAGACAGGGTTTCTCTGTGTAACCCTGGCTGTCCTGGAACTCACTCTGTAGACCAGGCTGGCCTCGAACTCACAGAGATCCACCTGCCTCTGCTTCCCGAGTGCTGCGATTAAAGGCATGTTCAGTCTACTCTTTTCCTTCTTTTAAAATTATGTTTTATTTAGTGTGCATGTATGTGTGTGGGTGCATGAAGGCAACTTGCAGGAGTCAGTTCTGGGAGATCAGGCTCAGGTTGTCAGGCTTGGCCGCAAGCACCTTTCCCAGCAGAGCCATCTTGCCAGCCCAATGATACTATTTATTTTCTTAGAGACTTTAGGCTGGCCTCGAACTCACAGAGATCCACCTGGCTCTGCCTCCCGAGTGCTGGGATTAAAGGCGTGCACCACCACTGCCCTGTGAGACTTTATATTTAATTACATGTATATGTGTGTCAATGTGTGCATGCCACTGCAGGCGTCTGTGGAGACACTTGATCTCCTGTGAGCTGCCATGTGGGTGCTGGGATCTGAACCTGGATCCTCAGGAAGAACAGCCAGTGCACTTAACCACTGAGCCATCTCTCCAGCCAAGGTACCATTTACTTTAAAGGTACCATTTTTTTTTACCCTTGTTCCTTTGAGACCGGGCTTCACTATATGTATCTATACTGCTCTTGAATGCACTATCAATCCTCCTGCCTCAGCCTCCTGAGTTCTGGCATTACAAGGTGTGAATCTCCATGCCTGGCACAAAATTACATTTGATGTCCTGACTTCTGTTAGGTGGTGGTGGTGGTGGTGGCGGTGGTGGTGGCGGTGGTGGTGGTGGTGGCGGCGGTGGTGGTGGCGGTGGTGGTGGCGGTGGTGGTGGTGGTGGCGGCGGTGGTGGTGGCGGTGGTGGTGGTGGAGGTGGTGGTAGCACACTTCTTTGATCCCAGCACTTGGGAGGCAGAGGCAAGTGGATCTCTGTGAGTTCAAGGCCAGCCTGGTCTGTAAATCAAGTTCCAGGACAGCTAGGGCAATACAGAGAAACCCTGTCTTGAGGGAAAAAAAACCAACAACAAAGACTACTGACCCCTTGATTCAGTGATAAACACCCATGATAAACAAGTGTGGCTTCACTGGAAGGGTTATAGTTACAGAAACCACTGGAAGATAAAACACTTGAAACTCCAGGCATTCCCGGCCCCACATCAACATTACCCTTCTGGTGGGCATTGACTTCTGCCCTGATGATGGTGATGTCTAGTCCGCTGATGGAATTATTCTGCCATCTGAAAACATAATGCTCTTCCACGTTCACATTTCTGGGGGCAGATCCACTGTTTAAAAGTCTGTCTGCAAAGAAGAAAAACCCTCTCTGAGTTGAAGTCTGCTACTGGGGCTCTCTCTGCCTGAGTGGGCTCCCCCACAGCCCATCGCTCCAGCTCCCTAAGGAAGCCAGGCCACTGTTTCCTCCATGGAGCTTCCTGTGGTCCCAAGTCAGTGAGCCACATCCTCTATTCCACGTCAGTCCCTGAATGATTCTGTCCCTTTTCTTTGATTCCTGTGTCCCGGGTACCGAGTTCATATGAGAAGTGTGCATTTGGGGCACTCATGCTCCAGAAGCAGAGGCTTGAGGCCGGGCAGCTACTAGACAGTATGAGTTCCAAACACACAGCCAGGAACAAGGTCATAACCCACTGGAAAGGAATACAAACCACACCTTCATTCACAACAAAGGGCTGCTGAAATCAGCCACACCCACACGCCTTCTCTGGCTGCATCCCAGCTGCAAAGCTCAACTACCAGGAAAGGCAGGCAGGAAAGGGGGCTGGAGAGATGGCTCTGATCCCAGGAACCCACAGCCGGCCAACTGAGGGAGGTCAGCTTCAATCCCGGCGCTGGCCTGACACATGCAGCAAAGAATAAGACGCCTTGTTTCAAATAAGGTGAGAGATGAGTACCCACAGCCAAGCTTGTGCTCGGAGTTCCATGCATGTGCCTGCACGCACACACACACACACACACACACACACACACACACGCACACAAGCACGGACGTACGCATGCACACATGCACACACACAGACACACACACACACACACACACACACGCACACGCACACAAGCACGGACGTACGTATGCACGTGCACGCACACACACAAAGATTAGAAAATAAAACAGACAAGAACAAACATGCTGTGCCCTCAAGGGTTCTTAACAACCTAAGAGACGCTTAAGAACAGGCTCTCAGAACCTGAGAGCTGGAGAGGACCCTGCAGTACATCCTCTCAGGGCCTGTAAGAGGGTGGCTGAGGTCACAATAGTTCCCAGAAGCCACCCAAGAAGAACATGTGACAAAACTCTGCTGGAGCATCCCCCAATTCTGCTGAGCCTCCATCAATTCTTAAAAATTGATCTATTCCTTTTATTTAACGTGTACAAGGGTCCTGCTTGCATGTGCATGCAAGCGTATGCACCATGGTGTGTGACTGGCGCCCATGAGGGCTGAAGAGGGTGTCTGATCATCTGGAACTGAAGTTAGAGTTGTGAGCCACCATGTGGGCGCTGGGAACTGAACCCGGGTCCTCTGCAAGAGCAGCAAACGCTCTTAAGCACTGAGCCATCTCTCCAGCCCCCCAATTTTAAACTTTTAATTATTTTGTGTGTTTGCACATGTGTAAATACTCCTGTGTGTATTTGTGTGCATGCCCATGGCTGCATGTACAGGTCAGAGTTCAATGCTGGGTCTCTTCCTCAATTACTCTCCATCTTTCCTTTTTTCACATTTTTATTTATTAGTGTGTTTTCCTGCATGGGTACACATACCCTTGCATATACTTCATACACACACACACACACACACACACACACACACACACACGCACGCACGCACGCACGCACGCATGCACGTATAGGTGCAGCCTTGTCACAGTGCCTCAGTGGAGGTCAAAGGTCAATTTTCAGGAGTTGGTTGGCTCCTTTCACCACACAGGTCCCAGGAACTGAACTCGGGTCCTCAAGCTTGGCTGCAAACACCTTTACCCACTGAACCATCCATCGCTCTGGCCCATCATCTTATTTTTGTGTTTTCTTTTGTTTTTTGAGACAAGGTCTCTACTATATATCTCTAGCTGTCCTGGAACTTGCTATGTAGACCAGGATGGCCTTGAATGCATACAGATGCCCCTGCCTCTGCCTCCCAAGCGCTGGGATTAAAGGTGCCCGCCATCATGTCTACCCAGCCTGATTTTTTTGAGGCAGGATCTCTCACTGAACCTAAGTTCACCAACTCTGCTAGACCAGTGGGCTGCTGAGATGCGGGGATCTTCTTGTTTCCACTTCCCTAGAGCTGGGGATGTCGTGCATGGCATTGCACCCCCCCAGCCTTTACACACACGGCAGGGACCACATGAACGTCTTCCCACCTGCATGGCAACAAACGCTCCGAGCCATCTCCACGGCCCTCCTCCTTCAACTGACAATGAAGATACTTTCGACTCTGGTGACGTACCTCACTAGGAGGATGAGACGCAGACAGCCAGCCACTCAGCAGCCCTCAAGAGGCCAAGTGATTGCTGGGCTACATGGTGAGGCCCTGTCTCAAAAACACGAATAACAGGGGCTGGAGCGGTGACTCGTGGGTTAAGAGCAAGGACTGCTTTTCCAGAGGACCCAAGTTTGGCTTCCGGCACCCCTGTCTGGTCACTTACAGCTGCCTCTAACTTTAGCTCCAGGGGTTCAACTCCCTCTTGTGGACTGGAAGAGCACTTGTACTGATGTGCACAAGCTCAGCCCCCACTCCAGACACAGACACACACACACACACACACACACACACACACACACACACATACACACACACACACACACATACACACACACATAGGTAAAAATGAATCTTTAAAAAATTGTTTTAAAAAGCCAGGCAGCGGTGGTGCATACCTCTAATCCCAACACTCAGGAGGCAGAAGCAGACGGATCTCTGTGAGTTCGAGGCCAGCCTGGTCTATATAGGGAGTTCTAGGGCAGCCAGGGCCACATAGTGAGACCCTGTCTCAAGAATACAATCAAATAGAAAAGAAACAGCATCTGTGTTTTGTAGACGTGGCATGAACATGTAACACTGATGTACCTGGACCAGAGATGAGCTTGTCCAGGTCAGTGGCTTCCTCGTAGGTTACTGTTGGTGTGACCAGGCCTAAAAGGACACAGAATTAATGTTTTAATTTCAACACTGTGGCTGAGCCCTAACCTACTGTTATTTCAGCCAGCAATTGTGACTCCGAAGTTACCAGCCCTGCTTCTCTGGTGGAGGCTCAGCCACTCAGGCTGCAGCCTGGTGGGGAATCTTTTCCCACAGGCACCGCCCTGAACGGCCTCTGCTGTTGACACTAAAAGTAGCTTTAACTAGATCTCTATCGCTCTCTTTACACATAAGACTCAAAGGCTGGGGTGAAAACCTGCTAGCTCAGACAGGCTGAGTAGCAACTAGCTGACTTCTCTCCTCGCTGGCACCTCCCAAAGATCTCGTCCTTCCACTCCACCAACAAAAAGAGCTGCACCACCACCACCACCACCACCCCCTGCCCCCACCCCTCACCCCGCTCCTTCTGGGGCATCTCCATCTCTCCCAGGCGCCCTCTGGTGCTCTGTGAATACTCTCTGTCAACTAGGAGCTAACTCAGCCTCCTGACCCTTGCAAGGTTAATTCTACTTAATTATCACAAAAGCAAACTGTTCACAGTGTGATCGAACATCCCCCAGCAAATTAACTTCCACAGCGACATGAGATTTATCATGGGTGCCATTCACCTACTTACAGGAGGCTTATTGAGGTAACTGGGAGCCAGGCTTTGTGACACACACCTGTAACCCCAGCAGTCACAAGGTAGAAGGATCGGAAGGTCAAGGTCATCTTTATCTATATAGTGATTTCAAGGTCACCCTAGGCTATACTATCTCAAAAAAAAAAGGGGGGGCGCTACTATGCAGCCATGCCTGTGGTGAGATCCGGCACCGTTTCTCCCCTCCTCCATCATCAGAGGCTGGGGTCCCTCTGCTCCCGGTACCTCACTGTACCTACCCACAGTGGGCACCAGCACCTGGGGTGCTGCTCTGTAAGAAGAGCTGCAGCACGGAATGAACACGGGGCGGTCACTTTGGGGGAGTCTGTGTCCCCTCAGATCGTCAAGTAAACTCCTCCGTGGCCTGGCAACCCCGCTCTATATCCCACAAAATTGTGTCCCCCAATGCTCGCGCCATCCCTGGTCACAAAACCAAAAGGTGGCGACAAGCCAAGTATCCGTCAGCCCACCAATGGGCAAAGAAATGTGGCTGAGCCACAGAGTGGGATACACTCGTTGGCCCTAAAGAAGAAAATGTGAGACGCACGTGCTTTCAAAAGGCAATGCTACAGTTGGGCGGTGGTGGCACATGCCTCAGATCCCAACGTTCTCAAGGCAGAGGCTGGCAGGTCTCTGAGTTCGAGGCCAGCCTGGTCTACAGAACGAGTTCCAGGACAGCCAAGGATACATAGAGAAACCCTGTCTTGGAAAAAAACAAAACAAAACAAAAGCCCAAAAAACAAAAAAGATGATGTTAAGTGAAAGAAGCAGGACAGGAGGGCCACAGGGCAAAGTGCGGGGAGAAGAGGAAGCCCGGGTGAGTGAGGACCTGAGTGAGGGTGTACTTGGACATGAGCATGGTCTCCAAGACCAAGTGGCCCATGGGAAATTAGCAAAGCCATCACTCATACAGGCCAGGTTCAAAAAAAAAAAAAAAAAAAATAGCAAAGCTTTCTGAGTGCGAGTGTATGAACCGTTCATCTGTATGTGAAGGGTCTAGCAACTGTACCTTCCTCCTGGGTAGTCAGAGCCTGAGCCCACCGTCTATAGAGACCTACAGAGACCAGCTGGCCTCCCCTGTGCTGTACCTAACACACACGCCACAGCTGCAGGTTATTATATACAGTGGCAGTTAGACGACCCGGCCTGACTTAGCCCAGTTTCTCAGTGTGAGTCTGTCTATCCTTCTGCGGTCCTTCCCCACCCCTAGGGAGGGTTCCGGGAGCCAGCTGCAAAGGAACGGTTCCATCGATGTGAAATGCAGAGACAGACAAGCGCTCAGTGGCTCACTGCTGAGAAGATGCCGACTCTCTCTGCCGGTACTGAAAGGTCTGGGGCTCCTCAGGAGTGTAGGGTACACGGTATTGTACAGGAAGCCAATGGTACTCACGGGACATTCTGGAGACCTAACTTAACTGACAATAAAGATGGGGGGGGGGTCGGTGCTTGGTCTGGGGTGGATGGGGCTCGGTGCTTGGTCTGGGGTGATGGGGCTCGGTGCTTGGTCCGGGGTGATGGGACTCAGTGCTTGCTGAGAGGAAAACAGTGACCACATGCGCAGGGTGCTGTTCAGACAGACTGCACTTCTCCCATGGAAAACACCATCCTCAACCAACAGATGGGCCATGACGGACGCCGAGCCAGGCTTACACACGGGGGAGGGAGGGCTTTTTCCCAATTACCACCCCATGCTAACCGCAAAGGCAGCCTACCTGCCGCCGTGCGGATCCTCACGTTCTCAGGGACAACGCCATCTCGCTCTTGGTGCACTTCCAGATCGACGGCACATTTAATATCAAAATTCCTCAGGAAAGCCACTGGGGCGTCCTGCAGACACTGCCCGGCTAGGGACACCTGAGGGCAAGGGACAAATATGGTATACCGATTCCTCCTTCCCGTCTTAAGAGCATTTCCCAAGCGTGGTGCTCAAGCCTGCGATCCTGCGCACTTGGGGGGCGTCCAGGCAGGACTGCTCTAAGTTCAGGACCAGTCTAGGCTACAGCGCGCCACCCTGCCTCAAAGCTACCCGACTCCAAGTTGCTTTCCGCTGCCCACGGCTACTGCTGGACAAAGTCAAGTTAGGACTCAAGGTGACCAGTTTTAGGGAGTCAAGTCCGGAAGCCACTACTCAGCCGAGTCTTCTCTCATACCTCGGGGGAAGGGCCCTGTCCCTGTCCACGAACAAGTCATGATTATATTTAACCTTAGCGCTCCCTCATCACAACCTGAATATTGAGGGAGGTGGGCAAGTCAGGGCCCCACACGGAATAACAATAAACTCTACTGCTAAGGACCACCCCCACCCCCCCAGAGAGTTTCAATAACATAAAAAGTTTCACAGGAAGCTGGGTGGTGGTGGTGCACGCCATTAATCCCAGCACTCGGAAGGCAGAGGCAGGAGGAGGATCTCTGTGAGTTCGAGGCCAGCCTGGTCTACAGAGTGAGTTCCAGGACAGCCAGGGCTACACAGAGAAACCCTGTCTCAAAACAAACAAACAAAAAAGTTTCCCAGGCATAACAAACTGTCATGCATCCATGCTTTCCTCCCACAGGCAAGGTGTCCTACTAATGATGGACTTGAGAAAAAACAAAGATTTCCCAAAAGACTTTCTAGCCTTCAAGGATGTTTCAACATTCCGAATGTTATACACAGTCACATACTTAGAGCTTCTTAGAAATCGCTGGGGCTGGGGATGTAGCTTGGTGGTAAAGCACTTGACTGGAGTACGCAAGGCCCTCAGTTCCAGTTACAGCACCACAAAAACGCAAAACACCAAAAGGGAATGAAGTGGAGGCTGACCACCGCCTCCGAGGAGTCTGCACAGCGACGCCTGGTGTTGTTATACATGTTGTGACTTAGTGAAGACGGGTGTGTGTGTGTGTGTGTGTGTGTGTGTGTGTGTGTGTGTGTGAAGAAGGAGTCTTTTCAATCTAGAGACTGTTAGTAGTCAATGCACAGGAGGAAAATCAGCTGCTTAGGGGGAGAATCTTACGGATGGACGACGCTAGTTAAATCCGAGCGTTGAAACTGAAGCCGTTACCTGAGGGATGGTGAAATACCCCGTCGTGGTCATGATGGGATCTCCTTGTTTGTAACCGGCATCCGTGAAGTCTCTTAGGTCGAGGTGCAGGTGGGCTTCGAAGGCGGGGTCATGTCTGGGGGAACTGCAAGTTGGTAACAGAGATTATCCAGGGCCCAGGGGGTTTGCTGAGCCTGCAAATAGGGTGAAGTTCCATTCCCCCCGCCACCCCACCTGTACCCTTAAAAAACAAAAAAAAGATAATTGAAAATACTACAATGATCTGCTGAGACACAAATCACCCTTTAATGCTTCCTCTTTGCTTTGATATAGGGGCTTATGCAGCCCAGGCTGGCCTCAAACTCTCTATATAGCCAAGAATGACCTTGAACTCCTGGTCCTCCATCTCTGCCTCCTGATCGCTGGGGTTTCAGGGATACAACCCCAACCCCAGCTCTTCATTGTTTTATTTACAAAGATCATAGTTGTAAATTTTTTCAGCGAGGGGTGTGTGTGTGTGTGTGTGTGTGTGTGTGTGTGTGTGTATGTGCACAGCGGTGGTGGTGGAGGTGGTGGCGCATGCCTTTAATCCCAGCACTCAGGAGGCAGAGGCAGTCGGATCTCTGTGAGTTCGAGGCCAGCCTGGTCTACAGAGTGAGTTTCAGAACAACAACAACAAAGATACTAAACTATAAGACACAGAAAGTTCAAGTCCCTGAGGGGCCCTGGCTCTTTCATACATGCCGGAAAGTCGATGCCAACGGCTGGCTGGATCTGCTGGGGTTTTTCTCAGTTCTTTCCAACACTTTGGGAGAAATGGCCTCACTAACTGCAACCCAGTGAGGAAAAACATGCGACCCATGTCTAAGGGCCGGTAAAGGAAACCTGGTGAGCCTAGGAAGCGGCCCCTCCCGGCAGGGCAGCAGCTGCTCACATGGCGCCGTGGTAGAAGTGCCCGAGGAACGGTGAGGTGGACGGGGGTGAGAGCACACACAGGAAGGGAAACCAGTCGGGGGTCTCATGAGCAGAGCCAGCTGCACAGAGCTGGGGGGAGGGGGGGTTGACGTCCCCTCCGAAGACGCCGGAGAAGCAGGCCTGCTGGAACAGCTCTCGCACCTCCGGCTGGCAGTCCTTGAAAACGGAGAAAAGGACAGTGAAGGCGCCTCAGCGCCAACCGTGGCACCAGCCGCAGCTTGCAGCAGCTCGCATGACCACCCAGCCCCTGAGGCCATCGGCCTGCGGCCCAGCAGCCATGAAAGCAATCCATCTCCTCCCAAAGGGCTTTGCGGCACGAGAAGAGCTCCTTGGGGCCGGGGAGGTGGCTCAGTCAGGACCTGAGCTCGACCTCGAGAATCTACACGGAAAGGCCAGGTGTGGTGGCCCACGATTATAATTCCAGTGCTGGGGGGCCAGGAACAGGGGGATCCCTGGGGCTCACTAGACAGTTAGCCTACTCTGCCAGCTGCGGGTTCAGTGAGGGGGTCCTGTCTCCAAAAAAAATAAAATAAAATAAGGATGCATGGTACCTAAGGCATGACACCCAAGGTTGTCCACAAATGTGTGCACACATGAGCAATAACACACACACACACACACACACACACACACACACACACACACACACTGTAGACACATCACCAAAAACCAGGACCAGAGCCACGTGTGTGATCCCAATTACTCAGGACGCTGAGGTAGGAGGACCAAAAGTCCAAGGCCAGCCTGGGCAACTTAGCGAGAGACTCTGTCTCCAAAGTTAACAAAGTAACAGAGAAAGGCTGGGTACACTACTCAGTGTATCCTGGCATGTGTGAGGCCTACAGTCAATCTCGGTACCTCAAAATCGAAATTGACATCATGCACAAAGTACAAATGGGGGTTATCTGAAGACATCATCGACACAAAATATAATTGGTGTGTTTATCTATCTATTTAATTTGAGACAAGGTCTCTCTGGGTGGAACTCACGATGTAGCCCAGGCTGGCCTCGAACTCACAGAGCTCCACCTGCCTCTGCCTCCTGAGTGCTGGGATTAAGGGTGTACGCCACCATGTCCTGCTACCTACTGCCTTTTGGTTTCTTGTTATTTGGAGACAGGGTCTCACTGAGAAGCTCTGACTAGAACTAGCTATACAGACCAGGGCTACCTATTTTTTTTTTTTAAATAACATGTTTATTTTATTTTATGTGTATGGGTGTTCTGCCTGCATGTAATGCCTGTGCATACACGTGCACCACCACATCTGGCCCTGCTCTTTCGTTATGAGAGAGAAGTCTCACGATGTAGACCAGGCTGGCTTCACGTTCATGACGATTCTCGGTTTTAACCTCGCCGGAGCTAGGCTTTGCCGACAGTAGTGGCTAACATAATACACAATACAGCCAGCTCCGCGGGCGGGTAGTGAAGGAGGTCACATTACTGTGAGTGACAGACTGGGTACAGCCTGGCAGTGCCATGAGCGTGCGCCTGCTGACTCCAGCCGTCCCGATCATGTCCATACACTGCAGTGACACATGGGTGCATGTCACTCTAACACAATGACTAAAACCAGCCACTGCAGGCAGGTTTCTGACGGCCACTTCTTTTTTTTGTTTGTTTTTTTGTTTTTTGAGACAGGGCTTCTCTGTGTAGCTTTGCGCCTTTCCTGGAACTCACTTGGTAGCCCAGGCTGGCCTAGAACTCACAGAGATCCGCCTGGCTCTGCCTCCCGAGTGCTGGGATTAAAGGCGTGTGCCACCACTGCCTGGCTGACAGCCACTTCTTTTGCGTTTGTTTGTTTTGTTTTTTTGAGGGTCTCGTGTAGCCCAGGCTGCCCGATAATCTGTGAGGTTGCTATGGCTGACCTGTAACCCAATTCTCCTCCCCAGCACTATGGTGACGTGTCCCCTGGTGTGTATTTAATATCACGGGGTGGTGGTTGTTGCTTGGTATGGTATCACCCATCTGCCATTCCAGCACTTGGGAGTTGGAAGCAGGAGAATCAGGAGTTCAAGGTCACCCGTAGCTACGTGAGACCCTGTCTCAAAACAGCTAAGCACACAGCTTTTTGTGCACTGTCCTCCTCTGACTTAGGCAGACAAGGCTGTCGTGGCGGGGGTCATACCACACAGGCAGAGGGAGGAGCAAGCCAGCCAGGGCTACACAGCAAGACCATGCTCAAGAGCAGTAACCATAGCCCTTTAATCCCAGCACTCGGGAGACAGAAACAGGCAGATCTCTGTGAGTTCGAGGCCAGCCTGGTCTACAGAGCAAGTTCCAGGCTAGCCAACATTATACAATGAGACTCAAAACAAAAGAACAAAAACAATAACAAAACATTGCATTTTCCCAGGGGGAGAAGCAAAAATATCTCAACCACATACCACCATATTTGTGCAAAATTCCCTGGGTACTATCGAACATGCTTCTCATTTCTCTTAAATTTAAGATTTTAAGATGCGTTATTAGAAACCAGGTGTGGTGGTTTGTGCCTTCAATCTTGGCGCTCAGGAAAGCTGAGGCAGGAGGATTGCCTTAAGTTTGAGGCCAGCCTAGATTACACAGTGAGACCTTGTCACCAAAAAAAATTAAATAAATAAATAAAATTAAATTTAAAAAGGTGTGTGTGTGTGTGTGTGTGTGTGTGTGTGTGTGTGGTGTGTGTGTGTGTGGGGGGGGTGTGCTGGCAACGTAACTCAGCATGTCAAGGTACTTGCTGCCAAACCTGAGTTTTGATTCCTGGAACCTCCTACAAGCTGTTCTCTGACCTCCACATGTACACTGTGGCAAAAGCCTCTATAACACACACACACACACACACACACACACACACACCACACCACACCATTCGCCACAAATAATAAATGTAATAAAAATTTTATAGTAAGATTAAAAGCATCCTTCAGCTATACCTTTCCCAACTGTGAGTTTACCCAAAGACATAGACTTTTCTCTTTCCTCCACAAACTACAGACTCTACAAAAGAGAAAATACTCAATTCAAACACAATCTGCAAGCCGGGCAGCGGTGGTACACGCCTTTGATCCCAGTACTTGGGATCTCTGTGAGTTCGAGGCCAGCCTGATCTACAGAGCGAGATCCAGGACAGGCTCCAAAACTACACAGAGAAACCCTGTCTCAGAAAAACAAAACAAAACAAAACAAAAAAACCCCATACAATCTGTAACTCAGAGGTGGAGGAAGGAAGATCAAGAGTTCAAGGCTACCCCTCTGCCACACTGAGAGTTCCAGGCCAGCTTGGGCTACATGAGACCCTGTCTGGAAAACAAACAAACCAATGATTTAAACATGAAATATAATCCCTGTTGTCACCTATCCAAAGCTGCGGGGGGTGGGGGAGGATGGGACGGACGGATGGCCGACGACACACAATTGATGGTGTTTCCCAGTGCTCTCAGGTAGCCTGGTAAACACAAAGAACTCACTTGGTCACAGCAGCAGCGAATGTCACAGGCCTTGGCTGTCAAGTCGCAAGGGCAGGGACCCAGAGGATGATAGACTTGGTTAGGAATGACAGTCGTGTTATCTGAAAAGCACATATGAGCAGAAACAGCTTAGCTATGAAGCAGTTCCACAAAGCATGGACACATTTTTTAGATTCACAAAAGGCTGAATCATGATGTATAAGAGTGCGTGCGTGCGTGCGTGCGTGCGTGCGTGCGTGCATGCATGCGTGCGTGTATGTGCATGTGGATGTGTGCACATCATATGTGTGGAAGCAGAGCCCGAAGTCAGGTGTTTTCTCTTCACCTTAGTTGCTGTTGGTTTTGACTCCGGATCTCACTATATAGGCCTGGCTGTCCTTGAACTCAAGAGAGATCCACTTGTCTCTGCCTCAAGAGAGCCAGGACTACAGGTGTGCACCACCAGGCCAGGTATTCTACTTTATGTTTATAAAGCAGAGTTTCTCACTGAACCTGGAACTCCCTGAATTGGCTAGGCTTGGTGGACATGGAAACCTAGTATGGAAAATACTTCCAAGTGATGGTAGCACACATCTTTGATCCCAGCACTCAGGAGGCAGAGGCAGGAGGATCTCTGTGAGTTCACGGCCAGCCTGGTCTACAGAGTGAGTTCCAGGATAGCCAAGGATACACAGAGAAACCCTGTCTCCAAAAAAAGATTTATTTTGAATTATGTGTGTGTGTGTGTGTGTGTGTGTGTGTGTGTGTGTGTGTGTGTACATGAGTGTGGGTGCCAGGTGAGATCATTGGAGCCTCCGAAGCTGGAGTTCCCAATCTGTGAGCCACCCAATCAAGGAGCTGGGAACTGTATCTGGGTCCTCTGGAAGAACATGCACCCTTCACCCCTGAGCATCTGCGGCCCACAGAGAAAAACACTTTCAAAGCAAGGGCCTCCTGCAAATATTTTCCTCTTTACCAGCTTTCTCCAGGAGCTTTCCGAAAGACACACTGGATATGTTCTTGGCTCGTTTTGCATTTTAAGCATTACAAAAAACACTGCTTTCTTCAGAAAGACTCCTTTTTCTTCCTTTAAAAAATGTTTGAGCCGGGCAGTGGTGGCGCACGCCTTTAATCCCAGCACTCGGGAGGCAGGGCCAGGCGGACCTCTGTGAGTTCGAGGCCAGCCTGGGTTACCAAGTGAGCTCCAGGAAAGGCGCAAAGCTACGCAGAGAAACCCTGTCTGGAAAAAAACAAAAAAAAAAACATGTTTGATCTGGGTATGATGGCACGTACTTGTCATCCTAGCACTTGGGAGGCAAAGGCAGGAGGGTCAGGAGCACAGGCTAGCCTCGGGTACATGGTGTGCTCCAGGTCATCCTGGGCTATGTGAGTCTCAGAACACCAACTGAAATTAGGGCATGGTGGTGCACACCCATGATCCTAGCATTCAGTCTCTGAGGTAGGATGATTCTGAATTAGAGTCTAACCTTAGCTCAGTAAGATCAAGTCCAGCCATAGCTACACAGGCAAGAGATGCTGGAGCCTGCTGCAGGCAAGAGAACCACGGTGGTAGTGCTTACAGCAAGCAGCCCTCAGGGCTTTTTTTTTCTTTTTTTCTTTTTAGAAACATATTATTATGATGTAGCTCAGGCTGTCCTCAACTTACTATGTAGCCAAAAACGACCTTGGATTTCCTAATCCTCCTGCCTCTGCCTCCCAGTGCTGGGATTACAGACAAGCATGACCTTGCTCAGTTTTCTGCATTGCTGGGAATTGAACCCACAGCTTTGAGTGTGCTAGGCAGGCACTCGACCACACGAGCTGCGCTCACAGTCCCTTCTTTTTTTGAGTTTTAGAAAGAAGTTTATTATAGACTCATAGGTGGGAGCTGAAGAGGGAGAGAGAGAGCTACATCAGTGAGCGAGGCACAGAGGTCAGCCACATGGTGGACCTGGCTACCACATGGGAGCCACATAGAGAATGCATGCTTAGGCTCCTGCCAACATCTGCACAGCAGAAGAGAAGAGAAAGGAGTGCTGTGCCCTTTCCAGTCAGCACTGAGACAGGCGGCCAGCCTCCATTAGTGTTTGACCAATAATATCTTAAGTAGAGCCACGGGAATCAATGCATGGAAACAAATTATACCTTCTCCCCAAAGGACAGAAAGTGGTTACAAAAGATGTGTCAGGAGAGCCAGACATGTGTGTGTGTGTGTGTGTGTGTGTGTGTGTGTGTGTGTGTGTGTGTGTGAATTTGAGACACGGTCTCTCTATGTCGCTTTGGTTGTTATGGAACTCACTATGAGACCAGGCTGGCCTTGAACTCACAGACATCTGCCTGCCTCTGCCTCCCAAGTGCTGGGATTAAAGGCGTGTGCCACCAGCCACTTGGCTAGATCTTAATTAAATAAAATGATACAAAGCAAAAACCTCAAACACAAACAAAAATAGTACATTTAGGAAGGCAGGAGAGATTCAAAAGTTGAGTCTAGGTGTCTGGAAAGAAGGCTCAGTGGTCAAGAGGACCCTCTGTTCCTGCAGAGGACCTGGGATCTGCATGTAATTCCAGGTACTTGGGATCTGATGCCCTCTTCTGGCCTGTTCAGGGTCCTGCACACACACAGTACACATATGCTCACCCAAACACACACACATACATTAAAAAAAAAAAAAAAAAAAAAACTAAACTCAGGAGGCAGGGGCAGCAGATTTCTGTGAGTTCAAGGGCAACCTGGTCTACATAGTGGGTTCTAGGCCAACTAGGGCTACACAGTGAGACCCTGTCTCAAAACAAACAACAACAAATCAAAATAGCAGTAACAAAAACAAAATAACAACCAGAGAGCCCCATCACGTAACTGCCCACCCTACACATTCTTCAGATGGTGACAGACAGAAATGTTTTGATCACAGACGCCTCTTGCCTGATGCACCGTGGGTCACAGACGTGTTGGGGTAAATCTCCGCCTGAATGAGCAGGTGCGCTAAACAGGATGCATTGTGGGAGGCGGAAACCAGCAGAGTCTGCAGGACGCACGGGAGCTCTGCGGAGGAGGCGGTCCCGTTCACGGAGCACCAGTGCAGGCCCCTCCTCCACCGTACCGTCACTTCCAGCCCGCTCTGCAAGGAAAACAGGGCTGTGACTCACCGGGAGCAGCTGTAATGCTGAGAACCCGTCCCAGGACACCCTGTAAACGCCCTCGTGAGGCTCGCTTCCCTTGACCAAATCAGTTCACAGAAGACCTGACGATGCGAAGATGGCCGCACCCCCTTCACTTTCAACCAATCTGTGGTACCCAAGCTCTGGATCTTTTTTCATGATTACTTTTGTTGTGTAGCGTGTATGTGTGTGCGTGTTATTTAGTGAGTGTATATGTACATGCACATGCATGTTGCTGGGACTGACATAGGGCTTCACACATGCTGGACAAACACTCTACCTACTGAACCATGTTCTCAGTTGATAGGGTTTCTCTATGTAGTTCTGGTGCCTGTCCTGGAACTCACTCTGTAGCCCAGGCTGGCCTCGAACTCACAGAGAGCCGCCTGTCTCTGCCTCCTGAGTGCTGGGATTAAAGGCGTGCGCCACCACTGCCTGGTTTGAATTCTTGATTTTTAAAATTTTTTTCTTTTTATTTATGAGTGTGTGTGTGTGTGTGTGTGTGTGTGTGTGTGTGTGTGTATGTGTGTGTGTGTGTACCAACAGTGACCCAAAAAGAATGCTAGATGCTTGGGGATGGAGGATGGCTCAGTGGTTAAAAGCACTGGCTGCTCTTCCAGAGGACCTGGGTTCAATTCCCAGCACCCACATGGCCGCTCACAACTGTCTGTAACTCCAGTTCCAGGGGATCCGGCACCCTCACACAGACATACATGCAGACAAAACACCAATAGACATAAAATAAAAATAAATAAATAATTTTTAAAAAAGGATGCTGGATGAGTTACGGAGCTAGAGTTACAGGTGTTTATTAGCCACCAGTACTAGGAACTGGCCTCTGGCTCTTTCTTTGGAAGGAACTCTTTTTATTTTATTTTTTTATTTATTAAGTATACAGTGTTCTGTCTGCATGTGTCCTTGCAGGACAGATGAGGGCACCAGATCTCATTACAGATGGTTGTGAGCCACCATGTGGTTGCTGGGAATTGGACTCAGGACTTCTGGAAGAGCAGTCAGTGCTCTTAACCTCTGAGCCATCTCTCCAGCCCTGGAAAAAACTCTTAACCACTGAGCCATGTACACAGCTCCATTTCCAGATTTTCTGTTTCTTTTTGGAGACAGGATCTCCCTGTGTATCTCTGTCTGCCATTGAACCTGTTGTGTAAACAAGGCTGACCTCAAACCCATCTGCCTGTTTCCAGAGCGCTGGAACAAAAGATGTGCACCACCATGTCCATCCCCATTTCCTAATCTTACACACACACACACACACACACACACACACACACACTTACAGCCCTGCACAAAGCCTAAACAGGAGGCCTCTACAGGTGCCTCAGGTCTTACCACACCAGGGCTCACGGTCACATTCCAATCTCCTGTATCATTGCTGAGACCACCACAAGTAGGAAATGGTAACACTCCTAATGGAGAAATTAACGCAAGGCATCAGGGTCTGGCAAGGCATCAGGGTCTGGCAAGGCATCAGGGTCTGGCAGCTAAGAGAGTCCTAGGGTGGGAATCCCCAGACACACCGCATGAGACTGGCCAAGCAGTATGTCTCCTCCTTTGTCAATGGGACAAAGAGATCCTACTGTTCTTATGAAAACCCTGGGATGCTGTGTGGGAATCTCAGGGGGCTAGCTCAAAGAATACTGGCCAATTTTTTTTCTTTGAAAAAAACAAAAGAAGCCTCACTATGCAGACCAGGCTGGCCTGGAACTCGCAGATCCACCTGCCTCTGCCTCCTCAGTGCCGGGATTAAAGGCACGTGCATGCCATGCCTGGCTTGTTGGCCACTTTTATTTCAAGCTCCCGTTTCCAGAACCTGTCCCCGGGGCCTCTTTGTTCTACAACACACAGAGACACTGCCTTTCTTCCCCACCCCAGCAGCTCTGCGGGCAGCACCCGCGCTCCCAAGAAAAGCCAGACTCTTACCCTTCTCGACCTGCAGCGGAGTCAGAGACACGGTGACATCCTCACCGCCTCCGACCAGGGACGCGCTGACCTCAGGGCTGGACATTCGGATGAAAGGTGGGATGAAAACTAGGAGAGAAGGAAGGGTGCGGGGAAGGGTTAGCCAGTGCAGAACCCTGTGCCTGGGGTGCGCGTGCTGGCTTTTTAGATGGCCCTGGCTTCCGGGAATCCTAGGAGCTCCAGGTTCCCTCAGCCTGGGCCATGCAGGCCATACCCCGCCATACACACCCGGGTCCCCACGCAGCGGTCCTAGGACGTCCTGCAGCAGGAGGAGCCCCCACAGGAGGCCGAGCGGTGACAGAGATCCCATCCCGGGGCCAGATCAGCCTCACAAGCCCGCAGTGGTCCGGAGGAGAGAAAGCTGCAGTCTTCGCCGCCCGGCCGACGCCATGTTGCCAAGCTGAACGCCCGCCGCCATGGCAACCACCAATCGGCGACAGGCATGTCGTGATTGGTCCAGGTCAAGAGAGCCTGCTTCTACACGTTTAGCGAAAGTACCGAAAGCCATGGCAACCACCAATCGGCCAGCGGCGCCCCGTGATTTGTCCAGAGTAAGAGTTCCCGCTCTCCGATCCTGGCCCGGCCCACCAAACCTGTTCTTTTTTGCAACTCTGTACTCCCAGTGGACATCGTGGGTTCTTTCCATCCAAGACGCCAAGAAACCACACTGCGGGGCTGGAGAGATGGCTTAGAGGTTCAGAGCACCTACTGCTGCTCTTGCAGAGGATCAGAGTTCGGTTCCCAGCACCACGTGGTAGCTCACAGCTTCCAGTAACTATAGTTCCAGGGGAAACGATGCCCTATTCTGGCGTCCTTAGTCACTGCATGCCCATGGTGCACATACATACATCCAGGCAAACACTCACACACAAGAAATAAAATTTATTAATATCAGAATTGTACATGGGTAGGAGAGTAGAGGGGTGTCCTGTGTCCAAGGCAGTAACTTTAAAGAACTCTAAAGAGTTGTAGTTTGCCAGGTTCGTGTTAGTTCTTCCAGAAAACAGCATGCCATCCCTCGAAGACCACTGTACGTTTACACAGCATCACAGTCATGGTTCTGGATACTCCTGTGTCGAGGCCATCCTCTGCATCTCATGTTCTCTCAATGGTAACACCAAATGCACTATGAGCAAAGCCAAAGAACCTTCGAATAGTAGCCCAAAGGGTCTCTTGCCTAGCTACCATATTCAAAAATCTGTTTATTTCTTGGTTTGGGCCAAGTCATGTTCTGGGTTTCCTTCAATGCCAGCCAAAGATGGTTCCTTGCCCCAAAAGCAGCCTGTGTTGTGAAAAATCCTCCGATGGGAAAGGCTAGTTCAAGCTGGGCGGCGGTGGTGCACACCTTGAATCAGCTTGAAGTAACGTGGTCCCCTCCCCCTTCCAGCTAAGAGGCCCATGGTGCCATTTCTGCCACCCTCCATTAGCCACAGCAAACTGGCTTGGGCTTCCCACTGCCACCTCAGGCCGAGGTCTGTGATCAGCTGTGGCCCCCGCAGCAGCAGCTGGAAGACCTGCTTTGCCATACCACCTTTACATGCAGACCCTCTAGGCCCCAGCTCTAGGTAAGTCTACGCCTAGATAAAGAAAAAAAAAAAAGTTTGGAGAGATGGCTCAGAGGTTAAGAGCACTGACTGCTCTTCCAGAGGACCTGAGTTCCATTCCCAGCACCCACATGGTGGCTCACAACCATCTGTGATGAGATCTGGTGCTCTCTTCTGGTGAGCAGACATAAATGCAGGCAGGACACTGAATACATTAAAAAGCTTTTTAAAAAAAGGAAAAGGCTGCAACAGCCCCACATGGAACTGAGTGGAGACAACTCAGGAGTCAGCTCTACCCTCCCCCCATGTGGCCCTGGGGATCAGAGCAACATCACAGTACCTGCTGGGCCATCACACCAGCCTGCTGATTTGCTTTTGTCCTTGTTTGGGTGTTTTAAGATTTTTATTCTATGTGTATGGCTGTCTATGTGTGCATGCATGTCTGTGCACCATGTTTGTGCCTGATGCCTGTGGAGGCCAGAAGAGGGCATCCGATCCCCTGGAATTGGAGTTACAGACAGTTGTGAACTGCTATGTGAGTGCTGGGAATTCAACCTAGGTACTCTGGAAGAACAGTCAGTGCTCTTAAGAAAGCTTTTAGTCATTTCAAGAAGAACTGTTCGATGCAAGCTGGGTGGTGGTGGCACACACTTTTAATGCTGGTGGATCTCTGTGAGTTCAAGGCCAGCCTGGTCTACAAAGTGAGTTCCAGGACAGCCAGAGTTGTTACACAGAAAAACCCTGTCTCAATGCAAATATCTAGAAAAATACTTTAAGGAAAATTAGTAAATATAAAAATAGAATTTTTATTGTTGCAATTACAAGTGTTTCTATTGAACTAATTTACATTTCTAGTATTCAACTGTTCTCCGATATTAATGTTATTTTTTTTTTTAAAAAATGACAGAATCTTACCTGTAGAGAGCTCAGGTAAGTGGCTGTCGGATCCCAGCCAATGAGCTCTTCCTCGAGTGTCTCTGACAAACCTTACTACAGCCTCAGCACTTGCTCTCCTTGTAGATTTAAATTTGATACGTTTTTGGTGAAAAAACATTACTAATAATTTTGGTTAACTTTGCACAAATATGCTGGCGTATCAGATGAACAGAACTGCTAACACCGGAAGGCGAACCTCAAGTTAACAGGGCTTGCTTACATCAGACCATTGGTTGGTTTGTTTTGTTTTTGTAAACAAGGTGGCCAGATGCAGCCCTGGTTGGTTTGAATATTTTGAACATTAAACAAATTGTCTCCTTTAACTATATTCAAATGTAACCTGACCTAAAGGCACAAGCCTTCAGTCCGGGCACTCAGAGAGCAGAGTTTGAGGCCAGCCTGGTCTACATAGTGAGTTCAAACCAACCAGACAGAATGAAATGTATATCCCAGGCAGGATCTGAACCCAAAACCTTCCTGACTCAGTCTCCCAAGATTCCAGACACGTACCACCTGTCCAACTAAGATGCTCTGTCATGACTGACAATGACCCAATGCTGGTCCTCATCCTGAGTGGCATTCCAACTTCACACACTGCCATCTTGAAGTACAGAAGCCCCAGTCTCTACCATGATAAGCTCTGACAGAGGACCGTCTAAGAACAAAGTCCCAGGGGCTGCAGCTCAGCGGTGGGGTGCCGGCCAAGGACATGCAAGGCCACCCCCAAGGAACAGAGAGACAACAAACAAAGCAGCGTCAGCCGGCTTCCGCCGGGCAACTGCTACCTTAAAACAACAAACAGAAAGTCCTAAGGCTGTGCTGGCCCCCTTTCCAGATAACGTCGGAGGCCTGGGTGTACTTCAGCTCCACCCTACAAGCACGGGGAGAGCAGTGTTCCCCTGGGAGACTCGGCCTGTGGCCAGAGACGGAGAAGCTTGTGTCGCTCATCACAGGGACACCTTCTGCTTCTTTTTCTTGGCCTTCAGTACAGGAGGGAGGGAGATCTTAAAGGCTGTCCTGGAATGATGGAGAGGGAAGAAACATTTCAGGGCTGGGAAGCTCTCGGGAACCCACTCCCGGTCAGCACCTACGAAGATACTCACTCGCACGTGGTGCAGATGGGGCTGAAATTGCAGAAAACTGTTTAAAAAAAAAAAAAAAGGCAATAAGGATTTGAAAACCAGATTACTTTCTGCGCCACCCCCTCCCCCACCACAGACAGTAAGAAAAACCACATGAGCTTACTGGACAGACACACGGAGCAGACATAGCCAATCTCAATGAGACTTCGGTGGCAGAAGCAGGCAGCCCTGTAGTCCACATGGATCGGAGGTGGGAGGATTAGCTGAGATCGCTGATCTTGATCCGGAAGAAAAACCCACTGTTTTAAAAACAAAGAAAGAATAGGCAAGGAATTTATCATTAAATCACAGGAGGAAAAACAGTAACAGTCCAGACACAGACAGCAGCCTTAGCCAATCAGCACACACAGACAGCAGAGTTTAGCCAATCATCACACAGACAAGAGCTTAGCCAATCATCACACAGACAAGAGCTTAGCCAATCAGCACTGAGGAGAATACTAACTCAAGACCGTCCTTTAGGGCTGGCGAGATGGCTCAGTGGGGAAAGGTACTTGCCACCAAGCCCGATTGATGAGCTGAGTTCCACTCCTGGGACCCACATGGTGGAAGGAGAGAAATGACTCCGAGAATTGTCCTCTGCCCCGACATGCAATCAGCGGGCAGCACGCACCCCCACACACAAAATAAAAATGATTTCCTCCAAAGCCTATGAGATTCATTTTTATTCACCCACTCCACACTTACTAAGCACTGAGCTAGACAATCATGACAGCTGCAAACAACCTTCAGAGTTTAGCGATCTGGAAGTCCACCCCGCTCAGCCTGGAACTCTCAAGCCGCCCTCTCCCAGCAACTCCTTCCCTGGGGTGCTAGAGGTGGTGGGCTGCTGCCGCCGCCCCGTTAACTCACCAGTAAGTACTGCAGGAGAGAAGGCATCTGAGGCACCTTCAGGTACAGTCCCCCTGTGATGTCACAAGCCTGCAAGACAGAGCGGTCACTACCAAAGCAGAACCTCGGCATTCCCAGGGAAGGGGTTCATGGGGGACTCCAGTCGATAAGGTCAGCTGGTGTAAGGTCCATGTACTCATTACTGTCCACGCTACAGACACCAGCACACAGCTCTGCTCCAGATTTCCAGGCTACGGGACAGATTTCTCACGAGTTGAGCCCCTAGAGATGCCGACAGATACCATAGGTCCCCGGAGGCATGACTCTGCCCTCTGCGCCATGCAGTGTATGCTGAGCTTCCCAATGCTTTGCTTTCAATACAGTTTCTTGCTACTTTTAAGGGGAAAAGAGCACACGGGGCTGGTGGGCACAATACTGACGTTACAGTTTAGTTTCCATGACAATCAAGTGGGGCGCTGGGGAAGGAAAGCAAGGGCCAAGCCTAGGCACTGAGGGAACAGCAAGTGCCAAGGCACCAGGCCACAGCAGCCCGGGTTAACTGTGGTTGCAGGCAACACCCCTTAACGGGAGGCCCAGAAGGAAGAGAAGACATGGGGTGGCCAGAAGATCACGGCAAGGACTTGGGTATTAGCCAAAGTGTGCTAGGACAATAGGGGAGGGGAGTGCGGGGTGGGATGGGGAGCATGGGGTAGTTAGGCAAGTGAGTAAGTAACATGGCCTCTCTTACGCCATAGGCTTCTTTCTGACTCCCACAAAGACAGACTAGCTGGTGGAGTAGGTGTACTAAGAGAGACCAGAGTCTGCAGGCAGGCCCCTCAGATGGGGCAGCCAGGAAAGAAGATGGGAGGTGGGTTTCAGGATCTGTGCTGAGGACAGATTCAACAAGATCACAGCAATGGGGAAGGAGAGGAACAGAAAGGGGAAAGCCAGGCTGACTGCCCAGTGAACCACGCTGTGCTCAGAGACAGGACTGAGTTTGAGAGCATCCACTGCTCAGAAAAGCCGGAGCTCTGTTCTGACACAGTGACACAGGTGTCCAAGAGGTGATGGCATATGTATTGCAGAATACGCCCGCCTGGATTCGAGGCATCACAGTGAGGGACAGGGTACCAGAGCCAACTTTCAATCAGAGTCGAGATCTCTGAGTTAATGGACACTTCAGAGCTGAAATTGGCAGCTACAAATCAATCACCCCCTTGAAAGCCCACCAGTGACAGGCAAAGGGACTAACGGTGTGGTGAAGGAGCAAAGAGAAGGCAGCACAGCTACCCGCATCTGAACATGACACATGACACACCCTGAATGCCACATGGCATCCACAGACAGGACCAACGCCTGCACTGTGTCTCATCCTCATAGGGTGGAAGCCTAGATTTTAAATACATAAAAATGTAGCCTGGCAGTGGTGGCGCACGCCTTTAATCCCAGCGCCTCACAGAGCCAGGCGGATCTCTGTGAGTTCGAGGCCAGCCTGGTCTACAAACTGAGTTACACAGGACAGGCTCCAAAATTACACAGAGAAACCCTGTCTCGGAAAAACAAAACAAAACAAAACAGTAATTAATTCTTAGTTATTTCTAAACAATGCATCATTATGCAATAAACAGGCCAGGTGGTGGTGATAGCTCACGCCTTTTATCCCAGGATTCAGAGGCAGAGGCATGTGGATCTGAGTTTGAGGCCAGCCTGGTCTACAGAGTGAGTTCCAGGACAGCCAGAGCTACACAGAGAAACCCTGTCTTGAAAAATAAAAAATAAAACAAAAAATCCCACATGCCTACTGTCAAGTTGAGCCGAAGCAACAGAAAAGCCCAGCCCTCTCAGACCTATGCATTCTCCCGTTCCCTCAGCCCAAGCAGCAGCCTAGACTCAAAGCTGTTCCCCACCCCTTTTAGCTGACTGACTCATCTTCAAGGACCTAATCTTAAGGAAATGTTGAATGGGGAAGGGATGTTAACCATTTTATGTACATTTATTATCTGTGTGTGCACATGCATGCCACACACACAAATGGAGACCAGAGGAAATCTTGAGGGCATTAGCGCTCTCCTTCCACATGTGGGTCCCAGGAATAGAACTCAAGTCATCAGCTTTGGGGACAGGCACCCTTGGCCACAGAGCAATCTCACTGGCCCAGAAATATTTCTTGTGAGCAAAAGGCCGTCATCCACAGCTTGCTGATTATTTCAGCTGTGGGTACCTTTACCCTCCTCGCCCTTCTGGTAAAATTCAAAGACACAGTTTCAAATTTCTGCTCCGAAAGCAGCATCTAAAGCAGGAAAACTGCCATGAATTTGAAAGCAGCCCAGGCTAGAGTAAGCTCTTGCCACGCCTCCCACCCAAGAACACCATCTGGTTGTGGGGTGTATCTGTGCACTGTGTGAGGATGCATTCCTGTGATGATGTAGTAAGAAGCTGTACAGCCAATAGCTAGGCAGGAGAGTATAGGGGGCACTTCCGGGCAGAGAGAGAACTCTGGGAGGAAGAAAGGCAGGGTCACCAGCCTGACGTGGAGGAAGCAGGTTGGGCAGTACCAAGAGGTAATAGCACATGGCAGAAAATAGATTAATATAAATGGGCTAATTTAAGTTATAAGAGCTAGCTGGGGACAAGCATAGCCAATGCCGATCTTTGGACTACAACATCTAACAGTAATTCCCAAGACATTTATGATGCAATGTATAGAATTTATATTTTCCTTGAAAATTAAATTATTTCCTAGAAAATTTAAGATGGTGTCACACACTTTTTTAATCTCCACACTAGGGCGGCAGAAGCAGGGAGACCTCTGTGAGTTCCGGGCCCAGCTACAGCCACACAGTGAGACTGTGTCTCAAGACAAACAACAGAAACAGATAAAAATCCATCTTAATTGTACATTAAACTCAATATAACAAAAATACTCTTTGGGTCTCTGCAGTCTTACTCTGTAGCCCAGGCTATCCTCAAATCTCATGAATCTCCTGCCTCAGCTTCCTGACTGCTGGGATCACCAGAGTTTGCCACCAAGGCTGGCAAAGGTATTACCATCTCCACAAGTACTCGGTACACACGTTCCTGTATGACAGCCTGGTCACGGCCACACACTCCGAGGAAACCTACCTGCTGGAGGAGCCCTGAATCCGAGTCCAGGACGCAGGCATCAATGAGAATATTCTGAAAGGAACATTTCAAAACATTATAGCAACGGTTATGGCTGTCTCAGACATGCTGGACTCTCCTTTTATCTTTTTTTGGAGACTGGCTCTCAACTCTGTAATCTAGACTGGCGTGGAACTTGTGCTAATCCTCCTGCCTCTGCCGCCCCAGGGTTGGTACAGATGCCCCATTTTGTCCAGCCAGACTCTATTCCTAGAGTGGGTCCGTTATCATGTAGAGGGAAGCTGTAAGATGGACACTGAGGTAAATTTGGCATCTGAAGCATCCAGTGCAGGTCCTAACGCCTGTCTCCAAAGCTGGACCCCTTTTCGCCACCACATTCTCCATGTAAGGTAACACAGGGCTCGAGTGGTGCTGTGTGTTTGAACTGAGGTTTGGAGAAGGGGGCTGGAGAGATGGTGCAGGGGTCAGGAGCACCAGCCGCAATTCCATACGACCCTGGTTGGGTGCCCAGCACCCATTTCGTATCTCACAACCATCTGTAGCTTTACTTCCACAGAATCTGACACCCTCTCCTGGCTTCTAGGGGACCAGAAAGGCACAGATTGGACATATCTACATGCAGGCAAAAACACTTAAGACACATTTACAAATACAAACAAACCAACCCACAAACAAAACCCAGAGAATGATGATGATGTATCAGGTTACCTGAACATCTCATCTCAGGTATTTGCAAAGTCATACCACACTACGATAAAAAGAGAGACACTGAGGCAGCCTGGTGCACACCTGTTACCCTAATTACCCAGCAGACCGACGCAGTGCTTCTCAAGTTCCAGGCCTGTGGGGGCTACAGGGAGCTCACACCAGCCTGGGCAAGTTAGCAAGAGCCTGCCTCAATACAAAAGAAGAGTCTGCGGACACTCAGGTCACACAGAGCCTGCCACACATGTGAAAGCCTTGGGTTAAATAACACTGCCAAAAACAAAAGAAAGGAAAGAAAGAAGGAAGGAAGGAAGGAAGGAAGGAAGGAAGGAAGGAAGGAAGGAAGGAAGGAAGGAAGGAAGGAAGGA